TATGTTTATTTAAAAAATGCCTTGGCAGCATTTTTAGGTAAACAGCTGCAAAAAAACTTTGCACAACTCAGTAACTTTTTTGAAGAAGTAACTATATAATTAATTGCCCAACATTGGTCATTATATACTGTATTTTGCAGACAGAGTTACAGGACTCTCTCCCAAACCACAGACTCATACTCATAATACAAGTCAGAGCTTTACTTTAAAAAAAAAGTTGTCTTTTCAAAATTGGAGTTCAAGTTAGTTTTACTTCCAAGAGTGTTAACGTACTACACAGGTGATGAAAAGATTCTTTTAAATTTTCATTGTAAGTGGGCTAAAGTAGTTAATTAAAAGTAGTTTAACATAAATGTAAATGTTGAGATTTGATTCTTTTAATAAACATGTAACTTGGATGGATTCAATGCTGGCGTGATCACACTGTACACTTCTGCTGTTGCTCACAGTGGTCCAAGGGACCGCTCAGGCAGTTTGTGTGTTCGCTCAGACACATGAAAAATTAGAGGGAACATTGGACACAACACTGGCTGAGAGAATGGAGAAAGCTCTCTTACTGGTAATATTAATCAAGTGAGGCTAACTTGTTAACAAACACTATACCTGTTGCATCAGGGCAGCCTGGTTATCTGGATTTTCCAGGTCGACATCAGTTTGGATATTCATGCTCACCACTGTTTTCTTTGATTTGTAAACTACACAAAAACAAAACATTTCCAAATAAATTATATGGAATTTGAAAAGTACTTGGCTTAGAGGAAGTTATTAATAATATATAAGTATATTATTAGATTCAAATAGAATGTCTTAAACATTAACCAAAACCCTGTTAAAATATACAGAACACAGTCACAACATTAAGATGCCATGTTTGGAGAGATGCTATTAAGTGCACCTCTTTGACCTAAACAAATATCATAGCTTTTATTGTTCTTTTTTAATATAAATTTGTCAAATTTTCTACTTGTCTTTGCGCTGCATGCGGATAAAGTGACTACATTTTTTTTGGAAATATAAAGCTTAAGATATCTAGGTAATGTTTAGACTTGCTAATACTGTAGATTTATTCATGGATTGAAGTTATTTTTGCAACTAGCATTGATTTAATACACTTTTAAATTTAAAAAAAAAGAAAAGCAAATGCTGCAGGTGCACTTCGTTATTTGTATTTTTGTGCTGCTGATGACTTTGTTGTTTACATTTTTTTAAAACAGTTGTACTTTAACTGCTAAAGAAAAAAATCAAACTAGTTAAAGCCTTAGACTCAGCCTTCAGCAGATAGAGAATGTCACATGACCATCTTTGCCATTTATCAGGGGCAGAAAACAAGCAAACAGGCAAAAATATTTCTAGAATTAAACAAAGTATATTGTCTTCATTATATCTTGATTAGTGTGCAAGAAATATTTTCTGGTCATACCATCTCTGGAAATTCACTTGAGTGTTAAAACTAGGGAAATGTCATTCATACCTGCATAGCAGAAGAAAGGATATTGTTGAATGCATGGTTCGGTGGTCCAAGTTCCATCTTCCACCAATATAGCAGCGCAATCAAACTCATTGTTAGGTTGTCCTGTTTTCCAGTTCATGAATGTGCTGATTTGTTGCGTTTCTGACCAAAACCAGACTGGAGAAAAACTAAGGCCAATCCAAATTTCTTTATCCACAACTCTGCTGACTTCATCAAATGTTTCCACATCAAGGATTTGTGCCAGAGTTGAATTTTTGTTTTTGCAGCTGATTTTGGCCTCATTCCAAGTCACATATGTCTTATTAACAATGTAATCACTGCCTGTTAAAGAAACAGAAGTTATAGATTCCATTAGTAACATTATACATATATTAATGATTTCATTTATGTTTTTAAAAATAGGCTATGCAGAAAAAAGCTGTGATTTAAATACACCATATAAATCATATGTCAGTACTGCATATATATAGTCTTCATATTTTCTTAATATTTATACTGAGTAGTTCAGGTTTGAGCTTCACTGGGAGACTTATTCCAGTCTCAAACTAGAATATTTAAAAGTTGTATTTTTATGTTTATTATTTATTTCATGTTTTGAGCCTCATTCTGCTAAATTAGTACCAAGGGTCAATTTAATCTACAGGAGTAAAACCTTACAACAAATGATCTCTTTATACCTACCGTCAAAACAAATGAAGCCAAGCGTTTTTGTACATTTTACACTATACCATCCTCTGTAATCTGTGGACACACAATATCCAGGGCCAGTGTAGAGTGGCTGCTCAGAGCTCCATCCATAATATGTGGGTGGTCGTCCATCCAGCCAGGCCCAACCTATACCGCCTATATGAAGTCCGATCCAGGCTTTGCCGGTGTATACCCCGGCTGGAGTGTTCACCAGTGCAGTGTTGTTCTCTGGATACGTAATTTGGGCAAGTCCAAGGTACTCCTTGATGCAGTAAGCATCGGCCTCATCCCAGGTCATATTCTCATTCACAAAGTAATAGATGTTTGGAAAGGAAGCAGTGGGGACACAGTAAGCTGAAGAAGGAAATGGATTTTTATTTGAGATTTTACTAAGAAATACTGTTTATTTATTCAGAATGCTTGTATACTTGGAGTTCTATAGAATTTTACTTTCTGCAGTAAAAGAATTCCTTAAATAAGATTTGCTCAGTAGATCAGTGATGGTTCAACTTATTAATATGTGGACAGAAACCACTTTTCATTTGTGCCTATGTCAGTGAATCTGAAAATTTCTAAACTGATAGTCACCCAGATTCCAGATTAATTTCGTTAATTTGTTACTTTTATTTAATTTAATTATATATGCATTTTTGTTGGAGTAAAGTCATAATGCTGGAGCAACAGCTCGCCCTCAAATATGAATTAATAAAACTTGCTCCATATTTGGTCAGTTATTACCTCTCTTTTAAAAAATTCAAGGTAGAAACAATTTATATTTGAAAAAAACAGTGAATTATTATATGCTGAAAGAGAAATTACCAAACTGCTGGAATCTTACCTGAAAGCAGGAGAAGGACTAGAAACACATCCATGTTCACTCTGATTAACTGTGGAGGAAAAAAAAGATTGTGTCATATCTGATTCAGCATAATGAATACACTGAAAGCTATAATAAATATAGAGCATTTTGTTAGAATGACATTGGTTAAAAAGTGATTAGAAAGGACAGTACATCAAAAATGTTTCCCCTCTCTCTCTCTCTCTCTAAATATACATAGAGAGAGAGACAGACAGACAGATAATATAAGACAAGAACTTGCCACACTTCTTGAGTTACCAAACACACACAGCTGCTCGTCACTGTGTGTTCTTTTCTCTTTGAGGTTGCTTTTATAAT